TGTGTGTGCTGTGTATGTATATGTGTGTGTGTGTGTGTGCTGTGTATGTATATGTGTGTGTGTGTGTGTGCTGTGTTGTATTGTGTTCTCTCTGTGTGTGCTGTGTATGTGTGTGTGTGCGCTGTGTATGTGTGTATGTGCTGTGTGTGTGTGCTGTGTGTGTATATGTGTGTGTGTGTGCTGTGTGTGTATATGTGTGTGTGTGCTGTGTTGTGCTCTGTGTGTGTGCCTACTTGTGCACTCCCACATATATCCCTGTCTTAGTTCAATTGCTGTGAAGAGACATCATGACCAAAGAAACTTATAGAAGAGTTTGTTAGGGGTTTCCAGTTTCAGAGGGTGAGTCCATGACTGTCTTGGTGAGGAGCATGGCAGCAGGAAGGCAAGCATGGTGCTGGAGCAGTAGCTAGGAGTTTACTTTCGATCCACTAAAATGGGGCAGAGAGACTGGAAATGTCATGGGCTTTTGAAACCTTAAAGCCCACTGACCCCCAGTGACACACCTCCTCAAACAAGGCCACACCTCCTAATCCCTCCCAAACAGTTCTACCAACTGGGGACCAAGTATTTAAATATCTTAGCCTATGGTAACCAGTCTCATTCAAACTACTACCACAACACCGCAGCAACACACATGTGGAGGTCAGAGGACAATTTTTAGTAAAATTCATTTTTTTCTATATATCATATGGTTGCTAGAAATCAAACTCCGGTTTAACTAGCAAGTACCTTTACCTGATGTAACATCTTGCTGGTCCTATTACTATGGTTTTAAACCATAGTTTGAGTAGTAAATGTTGTCTCTAATAATTTTTAAACTGGTTATTTGAACTGATGCTGTCAGTGTCATTTAAAAAAATCATGGAAAGAATTTTGTCTTGGAAGAGAATTTCCAAAATTTTCTGCAATGGCCCTAAACTTACTTCTACTCTTTATATGAAACAGTATTGATAACTATAAAATTAAAGTATCAGTTAACCCTAATATATGTTGAAGATGCTCTGTGACTTGTAGCTTTAAATATTCAGTTAAGATTTAATTTTTCTTAGTGTTATAACAATTTCCTTTTATCTTTAATAAATGGTAAAATTACATGTGTACCAAGGAATTGTATCAAAATTAATTTCTTTATGGTTTATAGCCAGCAACTTTTTAAATTACTGTAGCATACAAATCTTTATATACCTATATACCCAAGATTGTTTTAAAATTTCCTAGGCAAAAGGTGGTGATAAGTAGAACAAGTCTAAGAAATAATGCTTCACGGTCTGCAGATATCAATGACAAAATTACTCCCACATTTTTTTCTTCAGCTGTCATGCTTCTAAGACATGTCCAGAAATACTTTTCTGTACCTCATCCCAAAGGTAGAATCTAAGTCCTCCCCCTTGACAATGGGTCATCCCTACTCTGTTGCTTACTTCTGATGAATATAATGGGGCAGAAGTGAAGCCTATTCCTAAGAATGGGTTGAAAAACATAACTCGGCCAGCTATGAGATCCTGACAAAGCCAAGCCACACATGAATAGGCCAGGTGGAGCTCTAGCCCAGCCCCATGTATTACTAGAAGTCATCATTGTCATCTAACAACAACTCTAGTTGATCCCTGCCTCTGCCTTCTGAGTTGCCCCAGTTAGTTCCAAATGAATCAGAAATTAATCCCCGGGAACCTTCACTTGAAGTGTGGATTTACACACAAAACAAATGTTTTTGTTTTACTACACTAGCTCCATGCATCAATCAATAACTCCAATAATGCTTTGTCCCTTCCTTAATATTAGAACATGCCCACTTAGTATGCTCACTTCGTTGTTTTGTTGGAGCTTTAACTTCATATGGGGAAAGATAAACCTCATAATTTGCCTCACAAAAGCTACTCACCTGCCATCTCCCATCTGCTCTGTCTTAGTCAAGACAACACTCCTCAGTGTATTGCTTGTGCAAGACCCAGGGATCACCCATTAGTGCAGTCTTTCCTCATACTGCACACCCAGCCTTTCAATGACTGCCTTTGGAATGTACCCTACCATAACAAGCTACACTGTCTTACCTGTCCTAGTCTCCTTTCCTAGTGCTGAGATACATAGTAAAATTGTATGTATGTCATACTGTGGACTAGCTAGTTATCCGTACTGGGACACCCCAACAAAAAATAACTTTAGACAAAGGGGTCTATAGGGTGACGCACAGTTCCAGGTTAGAGTCCATCTTCTTGGGAGAGTCAAGGGAAAAGAAGTCAGTCACTAGTAATACCCAAGGTCAAGAACAGAAAGAATAACTATGCACATACATGTGCTCAGCTAGTGTTCTTCATTTTGTCTAGGACCCAAAGCCAGGGAATGATGTTACCCATTTTTAGACTGGGTCTTTCCTTCTCAATCGAGAAAATCAAGATGATCCCCCACAGACATGCAGAGGTCAACCTAATGGAGACAGTCTTTATCAGAGACAACTAAACCTAGCCACCATGCTGCACATTACTCCTTATTATCATCGTGACCATCACCTCTCATGAAGTAGAATGGTACAATAGCCCTGAAAAGAGCTTCCCACATTTACCCTGCTACAGTCTATTTGACAGACAAGTGTCTTCTGTCCACACACTTGAAGGCTTTCCCATAACACTTGCCACAGTATACAAGCCCTGCTCTAGCTGAGACCTGTCTTCTCCAGTTCTATCTCCCAACAGTTGCTCATGTGGTTCAGTTGCATCTGTCACAGTGGTTTTTCTACTTTCCTTCAAGCTGGCTATGTTCATGGCTGTCCCAGACTCTCCGAGTTCATCTCTCTAGAGAACTCCCTTCAGTGACTCTTAGAGTTTGTGGATATCCAGGTCTCTGCTCACACTTCAGCTTCCCTTGCTCCTTTGTATCTCATGTGAGTGGAAAAGGGGTCTCTTTTTCTCACTCTAAAGCCCTGTTGGAAAACAAAGTTATTTATTTACTATCTCTCAGGCAAGAGTTCAGGTTTCCTGCAGGTAAGCACTGTCCCTGTCCCTTATGCTAATGAGTTATCATGCTGAAAGGAATCCTTGCCTCACAGACAGCATTCTATATATACACCTGACAGATAAACGGGAGAAAATTGTTTGGTTAATGAATTGAATGCAACCAATTCATTGAATCAATTTAGCTTAAAATTTGCAAAGTATTTCATTAATATTCAAGATATTTCTGTGAAAGGAAATTTGCCCGTTTTCCCTTCCATGGAAATAACCAGACTTCCTTCAAAGGACTGGTTTAACTCAGACTTATTTTGAGATTATTTATTAAGATTCAACCAAGTAATTTTAAACTTTAAAAAATTGTTTACATTTGTGTGTGTGTGTGTGTGTGTGTCTGTGTGCACACATATGTGTGTTTGTATGTGTAACATAATACTTTGTGCATGTCACAGTAGACATGTGAAGGTCAGAGGACCTCCTTTGGCTGTAAATTCTGGAGATTGTATTTAACTCAGTTTTAGCAGGAATGGCTATTACACGCTGAACCATCTCACCACCCCCCAATGTTTAGATAATTTGATACTATGATATTATATGAAAGTCTTGGATTTAAGAATAATTGGAATATTAAAATACATAACATAGTATTAATAATATTTATGAAAATTTACATATTCACATTTACATTATTCTTGCTTTACCATGTATTATTACTTTCTTATTTGTTCAGTCATTTCTTGTTTATGACTGAAATAGTATGAAGTGTAAAAAAGGGTAGTGATTTTAACCAACTAGCAAGCTACTAGCTAGAATCCATGAGTTTAAGGATGTTGGCTAAGACATGAGACCAGGACAAGACAAATATGGTTCACAGTGATAGTTGGAGACCAGACAACAGATGTTTCCCTACTGTCATCTTTTGCTCTGCACTAATTCTTGGAGCTTAATTTCCACAGGTAACATAACAAAGACCAGAAGACATGTGCAGACCCAAAAGATTGTGTCAGAAGTGAAATCCTAGTCCTCTAAAACTAGTACAGCAACTCTAATTCAGAAAAAGGCAATACACTTGCTGAACTGGTTGAAAAAGAAAACGACTTTTTTCTCCTAAGAATAATATCAACCATCTTTCAAAACAATTTGTGTACATATATATATATATATATATATATATGTACACAAATTACACATATTTAAGATTTGAGACAAGGTCTCATGTAGATACGGATGTCCTAGAACTCAGTTTGTGACTTGGTTGGCATCTAACTCTCAGCAATCCCTGTTCCTCTGCCTCCTGAGTGTTGGTACTATACACATGCACCACCGTGCCTGGCTTTTTATGAGATTTTTCAAAAGTGAATCCAGAAAAAGACTAACAGTCTGCTTTTGAAAATATGCAGAGACAGACTGGTAAGGAATTGTCTTCTGTAATGCATTAACAATGTCATTGTAAAGTTCTATGTTGATGCCTTCATCTTTAACGTATTGATATTTGTAGATGACACATTTGGGAAATAAAGAAGGCTGAGGGAGGCCATGAGGCCTCCAGCTTTCTGAATGATACCGGGCCCTTGTAAATGACTAGTATGGGACTCCGTTGCTCTTTTCCTATACAGACACAAAGAAATTAGTTGAACACACAACAAGATGGTGCCCAGATTCCTCAGTATAGAAATGCATTTGTGGCACCTTGATGGTGGAGTCTCTACCTTCTGGCTATGTGAGAAGCATGTTTCTGTTATTTAAAGTCAGGGGTAATTTCGTATACCAATGCAAGCTGGCAAAACACAACAGATGTTTCCCTACGGTCATCTTTTCCTCTGTGCCTCCCATTCTTCCTTTTCCTTCTCTTAAATAAAAGATTCTTTTCTTTTCACAGGTATTTGTTGAAAGTTTTTTTCCCCCAGGGAGTGATTAGGAAAAAACATACCATTAATGAAGAAATATTATGCCAGTACATCAAAAGAAATTTTAACCGACTGTGAATTTTGGTTGACCAAATTTGATTGTCCATCATTCAACTACTTAACTAGTTTACTTATTGACTTTAAACAGAGTTTCATCACACAGCAAGGAAGCTGAGACTCACCTATCTCCAGTAGAGTGGCTCACTGGCACACCAGGTAACCAATGCTGCTTTCTGCTTGTCCTCTATTGTGTCTGCAAAGCATCCTTCAGAATAATGGTCCAGGCAAGCAGTGCCTTGCTGAGAAGTAGAAGAGGATCAAACGGATCAGGTATGAAAATGTTGACATTACCACTTCATGTGACTAATTGCAAGCTCAGAAGGGATGTTTTTTTCAGTGGGTGTCTGCAAAGTTTTCTCCTTCACAGTTGTTGTGATCACATAGTCAGGCAAATCTCATTAAGCAAAGGTTGCCAAGGCTAGGACATTTGAGGAGAACATCCTTTGTCTGTGACTCACTCATATCCATCATGTATTGGGGATTCTCCAAGTTTGTCTTAATCTTTACTATGTGTCATAATACTCATCCTGGACATACAACCTGCCGAGTTGTTGTGAAAATGAAAACTGTCCTCTTTTTCATAAAGTTTCCTGGTGAGCAATATAATTTGAAAATTGATATAAAACCCTGGACCAACTACTTAGTTTCACCCAATTCCTGTAAGAGAAATTCATAAGATTTAATGAGGGGTTTACTAACTTCACAATAGACTTCAGCATTGATCAGCATATTTCATTTGCTTTCCAGATGCTAGTGCCCCACCCCATGGAAATCTTACATTACCCAGCCTCTGAGCCAAACTAATGCTGGAACAGGGTTCCCCAGGTTCTCAGATGATCTCAGGTTCAATTATCAGCTAAAACTGTCAGTTAATTTCACTAGAGGATTAATGATGACTACCTCTGGGTGTGTCTCTGCTGGTATTTACAGAGATAATCCAATCCTGAGAACTCTGACCTAACCAATAGATTGATAAGCTATGCTATTATTGACAGGTAACAAAAGGTAAGAAATGTATCTATCCTAGGAGGAGAAAGTAGGTCACTGAGGTTATATACTTGGAACTATAAATCCTAAATACTTGTATACCTCTTCTCTTGTTCCTTGTCCACCATGGGAAAGTTCCTATGTCACATACTCTCACTGCAGTGACATTTTGCCAAGTGTGTGAACTGAACATGGACTGAAACTTCCCAATCAATTTTTCTACCCTCCATTTCTTTCTGTCGGTGATTTCTTCAGGACAATGCAAAAGTCGCCAATTTATCATTGCTAAATTGTTCTGTCTTAATCTCCAGCTATTACCATTTTATTATTAAATGTTTTCCCTTTATAAATTAAGCAAACACACCTTGGAAACTAAGTATGCAGGGTTTTTTTTTTTTGTCAGTGATACAAAATAGTCATCTAGGTATCGAGAACCTCAGTTGGGGGATCACCTCCATCACATTGGTCAGTGGGTATTGTCTGTATGGCATTTTCTTGATTAATGATGGATGTAAGAGGGTCCAACCACCTGGGCAGGTGGTCTTGGGTTGTTTAAGACAGCTGACTGAGTCTGGGCAGTGGTGGCTCACACCTTAAATCCCAGCACCTGTGAAGCAGAGGCAGGCAGAGCTTTATGAGTTCAGGCCAGCCTGGTCTACAAAGAGAGCTACAGGAAAGACAAGGCTACATGGAAAAACCCTCTCACAAAAAAAAAAAAAAAAAAAAACAAGTTGACAGGAAAAAGCAAAAAGCCAGGGACAAAAGCCAGTAAGCAGCTCTCCTCCTTGGGCTCTGCTTTAGTTTCTACCCCCAAGTGCCTGCCTTGAGCTCCTGACCAGACTTCCCCTAAAGATGGTCTGTAATGTGGAAGTATAGACCAAAGAACCCATCCCCCCAAAGCTGTTTTTGGTCAGTGTTTTATTTTGGTCAGTGTTTCACTACAGCAGAAACCATGCCAGGACATTAAATATATAATTAAAAATTTCAGTGATAAAGGCATGGTGTAAAATTGAAACATTAGAGATTATTATGCTAAGTGGTGGATTTAACCAGTTTTATTCTTGTTTTAAATTTCCTAGCTTTAAGAAATTGAAAAACACTCAAGCTAATTTTTGCACTGATTCTTTTTCACTCCTACACTCCTGCTTGGAAATTCTTGAGGATTATTTTACCAATACTCATACTCTTGTCCCAGCAGCCTTGATTTCAGTCCAGAATCCTGTGTCATTTTATTGTAAGTAGCCACCAATGACCATCTCCTAATTTGTTTGGCACTGACCTACAATGTTGCCATAAGTCTGTCATCCTCTGATGGATATCCCAGGCTGCACACATGCCACATGGGGGTCCAAAGTGGAAGGTAAAACGTGCCCTATGACACTGTGACATTGTCTGCAGAGGATGTCAATTCTTTGTGAACATTCCCACGGAGAACCCGACCTCTGTTCACCACAAACAGGAACTTTCTTTCCTTTTTCTTTTTTTTTTTTTTAAACCGGAAGGTAGAGCAAGAGAGGAAACAGTGTTGATTTCTGGGAGAAGTGTGGTTGGAAGTACAGTTTGCTCTTGGAACAATTGTGGGAAGCTCCACAGAGCATGTCCTTTTTACTCAGTATAATAGAAACCACTTCCACTTCTCTGAGGAAACAGCAGTTCAAAGACAGGACACAGAGTCCCAAAGCCCTGGCAACTTTTGAATAGTGTTTTTCTCTTCTTCACTGGCAAACTGAAAGAGTCTCCATGTAGGTAAATTAAGCCGCATGGGTCTCATTTAGATTTGACCATGATGATTTCCTTTTGCATTACTGGAACTGACATATCTGGTCCTACTCATTTATCCAAGAAACTCACACTAAACATTTTCTTTGCATTGAGCTAGGGTAGTAAAGATCTACAAATGAGTAAGACACTTGCACTCAAGAAGTACACAATCCACACAAATAAATGAGTTGAAAATACACCATTCTGGACAGCAGTTAGGAAACATGTTGCCAAATGGCCACAAGTGAGCATTATTTCTCCTGATATCTGTGCCACAGAAATTCCTACCTAAGCTTTTCTAGGTCTACAGATTGGGAGATTCAGCCCTTTTAAAATTATGTAATACATTATTTAGAGTCCAGAGTCCACCCTGCTGGAAACAATAAGATATTGTGTCACTGTTGGAATCAAAGGGCTAGAAATGACAAAATGACATGAATGTGTGTTTAACGCACAATACCAAGTGATTTAAAAATGAAAGAAATATAGCAATCTGAAATAATAACATAAGCATAAATTATAACAAAGCATATGTAACCATAATGTTCATCTACTATACAAAAAGCAAAATAAATTAAAATGACAGTTTCTGTTATCAAGGGGTATGGAAATGGAGACAATGGATAAATGACATATAAAAACAAAGAAATTTGATAGTTTTTTAGACCACTGTTGATAATGTGACACAAACTAGGGAATATGAATAATTAAATTCTCAAAGAAAATACTGAACTGGATAAGGAAACTAACCCAACTAGCTACACGGTGGATCAGCTTGGAATAGCATTTTTTTGCAGAGAGGAAAATGTCCTGGAAGTAACATCTAGAAAGAGTGTTAGACACCCAGTCTCACAGCTATTACGACACAGTAGTTTATCCTTGCCCTTGAATCTGAATTCATCTTTATCCTCATAAGTTAATTTACTGTTATTGAAGCCTTTCTTCCCAACAACACTGATACATTGTCTAATTCACACCAGATTAAATGGAGTATGAGCTGCTGTATATTAGAGAACAGATTAGAAAGCCATCCTTTCTTATATATCAGTGTTGAGATACAGTATAGATGCTGAGAATCCCTGTCATTGGCCATCCCACTCTGTCCTACTCCAGTGAACACATGCTAGTCATCCCATTATGATTTATCTATAAAATTAGCACATGGACACTGGTACTATTTTGTTTTGTTTGCTTTTAAAACACAACCTCATATTTCCCACGCAGTAGTTAGTTAAGTCCTACCTCTTTATTCCATTGTCTTTCTGAATGTGTGCTAGCTGGTTCTGCCCATCATCCTTACAAACCAGAATACTGCTATGTGCCTAGCACACCCATCTGCTTCTTCTGTCCTCCATCTACCTCTTAATTTTCAACATAATCCATAATGACTTTACTTTTCAGTAATCCATCTGTCTGGCCTTCAACATCATGATGCCAGAGATCTCCCCAAAGTGAATCCAATGCCAGCTTGTGAAAGAGGCAAAGTGTAGGTAATCATGCCCAAACCCCTGAAGTCAGGGACCCTGGGTTCACACACAAATGTTCAACTAACAACTGCAGAGCCACAGGTAAGTAAGTATTCCATGGAGCCTGTGGGATGAAGTGGTGAATGATGTCTCTTAGGGTTGAGGGTCACTTTAAGCATGAAAAGAATCAATATATGCAAAGTTCTTAAAGCAATAGCTGGTGTGGAGCATATGCTCTAAAATATTGTCAGTGATTTTTACTGTCTCCAGGTTTTATCCTGAGAAAGAAACCCTTCTCCTTTATAACTTAAGCGCTAGGGCTAGGGGGAGGAAACCCAATGATTCATATTTTCTCTCTCCTCCCTCCCTCCCTCCCTCCCCCCTTCTCTCTCTCTCTCTCTCTCTCTCTCTCTCTCTCTCCTTCTCCCTTTCCTTTTTCTCTCCCTCCCTCATTGTTTTGGGGAATGAAATGCAGTAGAATGGGAACGGTTCAGACTCTGAGTTCAGATGACCCAGGTCAAATGCAGCTGTCCTTTCCTCATTGTGTGATGCTGAGGAAATTTATCTGCCTTGGTCCATTTCCCTGTTTATGGAATGGCAATAATAATGACCTCTAGCACTCATAACAGAAGTCAGGATTCATCACAATAAATTGTGTGAATGCCTGGGTGTGAGTGCTTTGTGCTAATATTCATCACTCTTGTCATGGTTATCTGATCTCTGCTTCCATGCTGCTAGAGAGTATGTCATAGGACTTCCTGAAGAGTCAATGAGCAATGACCCCAGTTCAGTGTTCTAGAAAAAAAAATCTATTACTGTGGGCAAGTCTTATATTTAATTCAAGATCCACTTTATTATGAGTACAAAGATAATAATCACTGTGTAGAGCTAATTGCATCATTAACATTTTATCTTTAAAGTTTAAAAACACTCACTAGATTCATGTACCACATGCACACATTTCATTTCCCCTAACATTTATTACAATGTACTCTTCATCAGTGTGTAAAATCAAGAGAAGAGGGTGTATTACTCAAGTTTCATCACTATAACAAA